TGTAAAAGATCACCATAGATGACCTGTTTTCCGGTAACTGTAGGTGTGTCACTGACCAAATGGGCAATCGAGTACGAAGAGCCTGCAGGACAAGCTTTTAACCTTAATCATCCTGAAAGTGTTGTATTCATTAATAACTGCAATGTGATCCTCAGGTCAGAGAACTCTTTTCTTGTTCTGCAGCCCACTATTATGTTGTTTTGAGGCTCCTTTATTTTTCATTTCGTCTTATATGATGCACTCCTCTGTCCGGAATTCATAGTATGCTGTCCAAAATCAGTATTGCTTTATGATTTACTTAAACCAAATATGGGAAAGGATAGTATGAACTTATGATCTTCATATAATTTAAAAATCATGTCTTATCTTATTTTTTAGAGGTTTATACCAGAATGAGGTAGTGACAGTTTTGACATCTTGTTTAATGAGACTTGTGCAGGGCAATCATGTCTACTTGTGGAGATGAAGATGACTGCATTACTGATTCTGAAACTTCAGAGTTGGCTGAAAAGCTTGATGACGACATTATCAGAAAGTTGCCTCGGCCAGGGCAAGTGGATTTTATTAATGGAGGGCCACCATGTCAGGTAGATGTGAAGTGCTCTTGTTTTTCTCTCAGTAAAGATTCATTTGCCAATGACATTCATAACAAATGTATAATTAATTCAGTTCTGTATACTTTTATTTTCTTCTTCTGCAGGGGTTTTCAGGGATGAACAGGTTCAATAAAGGTGCATGGAGTAAGGTTCAATGTGAAATGATCTTGGCCTTCTTGTCATTTGTTGACTACTTTCGCCCTAAATATTTCCTTTTGGAGAATGTAAGGAACTTCATCTCATTCAACAAAGGCCAAACATTTCGATTGACAATAGCTTCACTTCTTGAGATGGGATATCAGGTATGCTTTTCTATTTCTGTTTGAATCATTTGGTCAAGCATAAAACAACACTCCTTGTCTGTATGTAATAGACAATCTTAGGATATACGGAAAAGGTATTCGCGTTTCTAAATACCCATAGTCCATAGTAATGAATCAAAAAATTATGATTGAATTTCCAAATACATGCTTACAAATCAAGTGATTGAGAGAGAAAGAGAGAATAGACGTATAACTATAATACATAGTAAAAAGTTGTCTTCAAAATTATGTCATACAACTCATACCTAAATTATGAGAGGTTAGGAGAATGTATAAACTTATTTTGGACCGAGGTAGATATGTCTCTGAACCTTCTGAAATGGTCTTTATGTAGGTGAGGTTTGGCATTTTGGAGGCTGGTGCTTTTGGAGTTTCTCAATCTCGTAAGCGAGCATTCATATTGGCTGCATCTCCTCAAGAGACCTTACCTGAATGGCCTGAGCCAATGCATGTTTTTGCTGGTTCTGAACTGAAGGTCTCATTGGACAGCAATCGTCAATATGCTGCTGTGCGAAGCACAGCATCTGGTGCCCCTTTCCGTTCTATAACTGTCAGAGATACGATTGGTGATCTCCCTGATGTCAAAAATGGGGCTTCCATAACACCTATGGAGGTAAAATTTACCATTTACAACTTTCTAATTTTTCAGCTCTTGGTTATTTCTCACTGCTCACTAATACTGATCTTATGTTTCGCAGTACAAAAATGATTCAATGTCTTGGTATCAAAAGATGATACGAGGAGATACTATGACTTTAACTGATCATATAACAAAAGAAATGAATGAGCTAAATTTGATTCGCTGTCAAAGAATCCCAAAATGCCCTGGTGCTGATTGGCGCGACTTACCAGATGAGAAGGTAAGTTTACCTCCTTATTTAATGACAGTTTGAAATAGGAATGTTGTCATTTTCAAAAGGCAGAGGGAGTAACAAAATATTTTGTTCACTGGCGGTATCCTTCTCTGTTGCAGGTTCGCTTGTCTACAGGACAGATGGTTGATCTGGTTCCTTGGTGCCTGCCAAACACAGCTGAAAGGCATAATCAATGGAAGGGGTTGTTTGGGAGGTTGGATTGGGAAGGAAACTTTCCTACGTCTATAACCGACCCTCAACCCATGGGTAAGGTTGGGATGTGCTTTCATCCAGATCAGGATAGAATTGTTACTGTCCGTGAATGCGCTAGATCTCAGGTACCTCATTGTCCTCCTAACCTCATTCTCAATTGCTTAACTTTTTGCTCAATGGTTCACAAAGCTAAATTGATTGGAACAGAAAGTAGTCACAAATCATGTTCTTGAAAGTTAATGAAAATTAGTGCTATTCATCATGTACAACACTGAAAACTTTTGCTTGCTTGTAGTGTATAGCTGTAGTACTTGTTACAAGTCAAGCAAACTATAGAATGTTCATTTGCTAGAGCCACTGACACAAGTTAGTTCATTAGTTTAGTACACGTGTGTTTTCTGGCTTCAGTATCCATTACATGGCCAGTACAAACCATAGTTCTAGGAACTTTTCGATGTTACAAGATCAGAATGTGTTCCTCAATTAAGTTTTCAAACTCGGCCAAGACCTGCAAAAGGTTCTGAAATGATTACCATGCCGAATTTAGGCTTTTATACAATAAGCTATGGCTTTAATAATGAAGTTTTGTTGTTTGTGCCTTCAGGGCTTCCCAGACGGTTATAAACTCGCTGGCAACATTCAACATAGGTACAGGCAAATTGGTAATGCAGTTCCACCACCTTTGGCATTTGCACTTGGAAGGAAGCTAAAAGAGGTGATCTAAAGATCTGCTTAGCAAAATATCATTTTCTGACATTCATGTGATAAGTGTCTTTTGCCAAATGATGAGGAATTGAATATTGTGTTATATTTTTTTGTAGTGAACTTTTCACATGAGATTTTAAGATGTACATTTTTTGCACAGCAAACTATTCTCCTCATTGGAGGCTGATGCCTATTAATGAACCAGTGGAAAAAACTCAAAACTTACTGTCTTACTGAAGCTTTCAATTTAAACTGAACCTTTCATCACACTGTTAAGAGTGTCGGACGTGTTTCCTTTTTCAAGCCAGAGAGTATACTGTATGAACCATTTCTTTTCATCACTTTCAACTGTTCTTTGAAAGCTTGTTTGAGAGCTCGGCCTTTATATCATCACAGTCATATATGAATGATGCAATATAGGCCTTGAGAAGTTGAGGTATCGTAGAACATTTGATCCATCATGTCCTTTAGTGTTTATAGATAGTATTATTTTTCGCCTCTTAGTTGATACAGTTGAGCCTTGCTTCTCTTCAAGATAGGAGAAGACAAGGTAATGTATAGAATCTTAAAGTTACAGTGTTGTTGCAGGAAAGTACTAGTATTTACAATGAGCATCAGGTTTAAAGTACAATGGATCCAAATCTAAGGAAAAAGGGTTGTTGAGCTCAGGCAAGTTAACTGCTAGATCATAGTGTGACACGGACCACACAGTACTTTACGCTATTTAGATAGCAAAGCTCTGGCATAAAGACCTAAAGATGAATTCACTGACCACATAGACAAGTTTAACACTATGATATGGGGTTAGTAATTCCTAATACAGAGTAACCCGAGTTCGGTTCAGTTTTGGATTGAATTTGTTCTGCTTTCGTATACCTAGCAGCAGCAGCATACAACAAGTCAACAATCTCAACACCTTAATAATCCCAATGCAGCAACGCTATCCCCAATTTTCAAATTTCACATCATCTCATACAAAAAATGGCAGAGGTAATGCCCAACGACTTCATATTTCCAAGATAAAATCTCTAGAAAACTTTTTAAAGATGGATTAATTGTGCATTTCTAAGAACCCTCTGAACAAAGCTTGTTAAGGGGTAAAAGCACTGATAACCAGTAAAAAAACCCTAGCCTCCTTTTCTCTCTTCTCTCTCCTAAACCTAGTCTCCTTTGTTAATTTTAAGGGGCTTCCATCGGATTTCACCGGTGGAAAGCCCCAATCTTTATTTTCTTTGAAGCTTTTTAATTTGTTTTAGGTTACAATAATGTCTCGCTCGAAAGAAAGGGTTTATCTCCTTCGAAAGACAAGATTTTTTCGATCTCCTTCGAAAGACAAGGTTTTTCGTACTCCTTCGAAAGACAAGGTTTTATTTGTGCTTAATTTGGTCTCCGGTTGTGCGGGGCTACTATTGATTGTGGCTCGAATTCGGGTTACGGAATCAACACAAGAATTTACTTTCTCACAAAGCGAAGCGACGAGGGATCCACTCAAAAAGTTGTATGAAACAACGAATCGAGAATATGCCGAATTGTTATATTTATGTATTTGGATTCTTAGCCCTTCCCCGATTAATTCTTGTTTGATTTTGTTAAATTCGTTTTCATTATCGTTCATTGTCAATTGTAGATGCCGTATGGCTTACATTAATGAAATTTAGTGTCCTTTTAGGACTTTTTTCTAAAAAAAAAAAAATAATAATAAAAAAAAAAAAAAAGCTTGTTAAGGGGTAAGGCTAATCTTATATTCTCTAGAGTTGATTGAAAGTCGAGCTCAATCGCTCATAAAATTAAGATTGGGGGTGTTTTGCATCAACGAGCCACAGAGATTGCTTATTTTTAGAGGCAAAGTAGGAGTGCTTAGTTTTGCATACTACGGAAAGGTAGGATTATTGATTAGTTTGTGAAAGAAAAAAAAAAGGGGTTGGATTGATCACTTCTTTTTCAAATGACTAAAGAGACATTTGCCGAAGACATTTGGAAGTCTTTAACAGCTAAAATCCCGATATCATGAGGATCCTACGAAGAACATGAAGTGAAATTCATGTACATCTTACAACACATTTGCAGTGGTAAACATAAAATCTTTTCGGATAATCCAAGATGAAAAACTACAAACTGAATCTCATGCATTTTGTGAATAATAACTTTGGGACCTTTGTCCCAATTTACTTGCCCTCACCTTTTGGGGTGTCACAGCTTGCACCATTTATAATTTGGTAAATCTTCTCTTCTTTTTTTGAGTTAAGTCTCACACTAATCCTTCCAATTTATCAAAATACCTTTTCACTTTCTAAAATCGTGAGCAAAAATTAAGCAAAAAGGGAAAGGATGCGTATTTGCAAATAGGGAGCAAAATTACATGCTTCATTACAGGAGTAAGAAGAATAGCAACAAAACCTTTAAGATCTCCAACGATGATCAGAGTTCAGTTCAAAGCAGATGAATATAAAATCTACAAGGGAAATCAAGAGACAGAAATAGCCATTGTTGAAAAGCAATTGTCCTGGTGCCTAACAAAGTCTTGTTTTGTGTGTTTAAACACCATTATTACACAAGATACCAGCAATACTCATATGAATTTCCTGTATGGTCTCCCAGCATCCTCGTCTTGCATGTGCTGCACAATCATAATTAACATAGTCAAGAAATGGTAATCAAACAATGCTACTCCGTTCATCCACGTAATAAAAGGCATCAAATAAATACAAACAATTTCTTTTGGAAACACTCAGATAACTACGATTCTGCTCAGACATGGTGTACTATGGTAGCAACTGGTGATTTACCAAATGCTAACTTAAATTAGATAACACTACATGGAGTTCCCAAGAATCCCAACTTATGATTACTCAAGAAGTGCACATAGAACAGCAACTAAACTACAACAAAACATCGCTTTCTTTGTTGATATCCAACACTATCTGCGGTAAGGTTAGGGGTGTTCATGAGCCTAGCTGGCTAGTGAACTATTGGAGCTCAGCTCGAAAACTTTGCTCAACTTGAAAAATTCGTGAACCGGCTCAAAGTACTTTTAATTACTACTGTATATTTTACATGCTATTACCATTTCTTTAATTTTTGGAAGGGGGAAAAAAAAAGACATCTTATTTAACATAGGTCAAAGGCAAAAGCTATACATTCCTGTGACACAGAGAGCCCCCATGGTAGAAAAAAGCAAGAATAATTACCAACTTTGAAAAAAAATTACAAGTAAAGCAGGCACACAAAACAAAACTTTCCCATTACCTTTTCCTAGCCAATATACAAAGTATTAGTTTCAGATTTGTGTCCTGATAGTGTGCTGCACTTTAAAACCAATCATTTAACTTAATGTAATATCAATGAGGTTAAAGACATTCCCTTAAACAAGCCCTTGAATCTCGACCACTTAACGAATCAGATCCAATAATACGCCTAGATGACTTACACCCATCCTATTACCAGTATAACTCCAACCCCAAGCCTCAAAGCACTTACCTCAGAAGCATTTAAGTTACAGACTATAGAATACCCCTTTCATATGTCCAACATGATGTCTACTAAAAGTCTAAAACCTTAAAAGCTACCAGGTCCTGCCATTAAAGAACCACCAGTTTAACTTATTTCCAGTCATATAGAGGAAGCTTAATAAGGCCATGATAATTCATAACTGTTCAAGCCCTTTGAGTGCAAAAGCCATTTATGAACAGGGATATATAACAAATAAACAATAGAATTAAACTCCAATAAGTCTAATACTTGGACCTGTACCCATACTCAACAATGTCAGACTAGTGACACTGACATTTAAAGGCTTTACATTTCCTTGTTACGCTTCGAGGAACATACCCACGTATCCATATAAGTTTGAGGCAAATTATAAACCACATACAGCAAGGTAAATTCAAGAGTTTGAGTGTTAAGACATTCCAAAATTTCCAATATCCAAAATTAAAACATAATGAGAACCTTACAAATCAAATATTTTGAGCTGACCCATATTGCCAATTGGATTTATTTAATGCCTTCTTAGGATAAAGTGGAAGGAGAAAGTCTCTTTGATAACTTTTTACCAAGTAAAAGGAACAGAATGAGTGTGTCACAAACAAAACTAGACAATTTAAGATTATATATTTACAGTGTCATAGATAAAAGGATTAAACCTGTAAATTTATAAGCAGCCTAGGGTCAGAACGAATTTCAATACCCCTTTCCCAGTCCCTAGCTATATGAGACATGTGTACTACGCAAAAGTTTGTATCTTGGGATTGATGAATGTTGCACCTAACCAAGGAAATGCTGAATAGAAACTATATAGTATAAAACTATAAAGCACTAGAAAATTTGGTGTTCGTTTGGTAGTTCTCTTAGATATTGTGATGTAACTTTTCAAGTTCACTATTTGTTGTAGAGATAACCAATTGTATCAAACCCCTCTCTCATGTCTCATCTCCACTTCCATCTTAAACAGACACAATCCCCGGAAGCCCACAACCACTGTAAGCTTCCTTTAAAACAACCACGTAACTCAACAAATAGAGAATGTTGAATAGAAACTATATGGTATAAAGCACTAGAGAATTTGGTGGTTGTTTGGTAGTTCTCTTAGATATTGTGATTTAACTTTTCAAGTTCACTATTTGTTGTAGAGATAACCAATTGTATCAAACCCCTCTCTCATGTCTCATCTCCACTTCCATCTTAAACAGACACAATCCCTGGAAGCCCACAACCACAGTTAGCTTCCTTTAACACAACCACGTAACTCAACAAATCAAAACTATTCAGTACAAATATTACATTTTAAACCTTATTCACTAGTGAAGCTCCACAGGTGAATGAACCAAAGTTCAATGATACAGATCAGCAATATACGGCCATTGCTTTTGAAGTTAGATGAACAAGAGCATTAAAGGCAAAATCGAGTTTTTTATAAACCCATATAGAGGTAGAAGGAAGTTTTTATCAGAAGCTCATACCGAAAATAAGCGAAGTCGTTTGGATCAAAAGGTTAACAGAAGAAGGCTGCATATAGTGCCCTTGTTAGCTTTAAGAGCAGGGCGATTTTACTCCCTTGAAAAATAGTTCTTGCCCAGTATCACATTTTCTACTCCAACCAGAATCAGATAGAAGAATTTTGGAAACCAATTTCCCTAGAAATTTGATTCTAGCCAACCAAACCAAACCTAGTCATGCTCTTTTAAGAATTTCTGCAAATCTAGCGACTACTTAAACCCAAAAACTTGAATCACCAAGTATGACGCCTTCGATTCAATATATTCTGGCAATTTAATCAAGATGAACCAACCTCGATTAACAACCTGAATCGAAACAGACATAAGATGCCATTTGATTCCCCTTTTCACCTCCCAAGCACATACCATTGGAAACAAAACTCCAACAACATGACACAAACACCCTATGGAAAAATACGGAACCATAGTCGGCTAACCTACTCTTGCTGATTATTAGCCCAACGAACAACCCCGACTAACAACTACCATTGGTACAGACATCAGAATTCAATTGATTCCCAATTCAGCCTGCCAAACAAACACTAATCCAAACCAAACTCCAGCAGCATGTACAATTTCTCTTCAAATTACGAAACTTTTTCTCTATAATCCATGAATGCTGCAGTTATTTCTTGCAAATCCCACGATTCCCTTCCCAAATTACATAGAACAACACAAGCTCAACGAAACAAACAAACAGCAAATTACAACATTTAAATTTAAAAACTGATCAAATCAAACCCAATTCATTTCAATCCCTAGATTCGAATTTGACCCACATTTGGTAAGATCCCAAAACCCTAATCCCATAAATCAGAAAACAAAATCAAATTGCAACAAATCAAATGACAAATTCAGAACAATATCAACAAATCAAAATCCATTAAATAAGTGAGAGAAAGAAGAGTTACAAATTCACGGACGATTCCCTTGTAAACCAAAACAGGAAGAGCAATCCCGAAGATACCAATGAGAGCAAAATTACGACGAGTCCATCTGAAATTGTGCTCAAGATTTTCTCTAGCAGAACCCCATTCTTCAATGAATTTGTTCTTCGATGCTTCCATACCTCCCCCCATTTTTCTTCTCCTTTTCTTTCTTTCTCTCTCCTCAAACCTTTCACCACTTCTAGAGTTGAAGAAGACCTGCTATTTCTGAGTTCACTATTGCTGAGATTTGATGATGGATTTGTTATTTGGTTTAAATGACATAGTGCAATAGGCCCAGTTGTTGTTGTGCTTAAAGCTCACCATGGGTTAACCCGTCCGAATGAGTCGTGTATTCGTGATCGAACTTTTACTTTTTTGGAATGGTTCGATTTGGATTGGATCGGATTGGTTTCGAGTTTGACATGGTTAAAAATAATAACTTCATTCGTACTTCTTAACTGCAACGTTAAGGATTGTGCGTTAATAGCATAAAATCTCAAACATTGTGATTAGAAAAGAGCGGAGGGAGTAATGACTCTTGGGTCTTGTCTAGTTCACCTTATTTTTACTTATTTCAAAAAAAAAAATAAGTTCAGATCAGATCAGACCATAAAAAATAAGTTCAGATCAGATCATCGTTTTATGTACAATTTTTATCGCTAAATATCTCTAATTTCTTAATGAAAAAAAATTATGAAAATTACATATTAATAAAATACACATTATTACGAATCTAATAAGATCCCACTTGATATATTTTTACCTTACAGATTATTGTACAATTAATGTCAAAGATTGGTCAACTCAGATAATAAAATCAGATTAGACCAGACCAAATCAGATCAGAGTAGACCATATCAGATAAGTAAAAATCAGGTAAACTAAACAGGGCCTTAGTTTGACTGTGAAGGTCTTGACTTAACTTATACTTCCTATGAGGTTTGGGATAGGTTGGTTTCATGATTATTGATTGAACATAATTTGTTGGTTCAAAGAGCATATTTGAAATGATCTTATAAGGGTATTTTTTAGAACTTAAGCTGATCATATTTTGCTTGATTTGATCTATTATCAACATGTTTAGTTTCTTGGTAACTATTTGTTTATTATTCCGTCTGTTTCAAAAAAAAATTCTCCATTAGAATCATGACATTATTTGTAAGAAAAAAGAATATTTTAAATTACACATAATATATAAAAGGAAATATAAATTATTACATAATCATATATATATATACACACACCCACCAACAGCTCTTTTTTTTTTTTTGCTCTATAAAATGAGCCCAATCTATTAACTATTACTAAAACAAGGGGTGTTATTAATTCCTTAAAGTGTCCTACGTGTCAAGCTCTCATTAAAAAATTTCCCTCCAAATTCACTTATGATGTCATCAATTTATTTACTACCTCCGGTCCAAATTACTCGCAATATTGGGGTATTATTTGTGAGATATAAAATATTCCAAAATTGCGAGTAATTTGGACCAGAGGTGGTATTTTTTAAAAAAAAAAAAATTTCCCTTTCTTTTTACTTGCTAGCTTTTAAGATTAAGTAGGTTTAAAACAAAAAAATACGAAAGTTGACTTTGGCATCAATATTGTTGTATACTCATTACTACTTAGCTTGTGAATCTTTCAATATACAACAACATTAGATGTTGATAGCTAATAATATACATTTTTTAAGCTTCCACTCTAATTTAAACATATAAGCACAATAGATAATGAAACATTAAATGTATTTTGTCTAACCATCATTTTAGAACATTTTATATTAAATTGTATTAAATATTAAAATGCAACAATAAATAATAAACATTTTTAAAAAAGGACTATATACATGTTTTTTTTTTAAATATTTGTATACCAATTTTTTTATTTTATTTTTTTTAAAGCAAGCCAAGTTACTTTAAAATGATATCAACAACAAAATATATAAAAGAAATATGGAAAAATTATTTATCACCATCGTGCAACGCACGGGTGCTATACTAGTATTAAGGTATTTTGAAACAATTTTTATGAAAGTGAATATTTTACTCTCTTCTAAATCAAAGTGTGTAAAGATGAATATTACAAAATCCAATAGGAAAAAAAAACTACAAAATCTCAGAACTCATCACAACCCAAAATAATCCAAATCTTCAACCTTAGGGCATGTTCTCATACGTTTATTTTCAGTTCAGTCCAGCTCAGCTCAGTTCAGTTCAGTTCAATTCAGCTCCTAATTTCATTCTCTTATAAAATATTCATTTCAGTTTAGTTCAGCTCAGCTCAAATCAGTTCTATTCAATTCAGTTGAGTTCAGGCTATGAGAACAGGCCCTTACTATTCTAACCTTTCAGTTTAGTTCAGCTCAGCTCAGTTCAGTTCTATTCAATTCAGCTGAGTTCAGTCTATGAGAACAGACCCTTACTATAGTTCAGCTCAGTTCAGTTCTATTCAATTCAGCTGAGTTCAGTCTATGAGAACCGGCCCTTACTATTCTAACCTTTCAATTGATCTCAACTCAGGTTTAGATACAAATTTTCAACAATTTCTCGAAATATGGTTCACAAAATATCAATTTCTCAAATTTCGAATTATTGTGTATGTCTTAATTAACGACTAATTACTTACTAATTAAATAATATAATGCATTAATTTCAAACATAAGTCATTTTATTCAATTAATGTATGCTAAATTTATTATTACCAAGTACATTAGTTATATATGATAGGTTTTAAGAAAGGGATTGTGTGGTGGGGTTGGGTAAAAGTAGGAGAGAGAAAATGTAAAATAAAAAAATTGAGGTTAACTATTGGGGTATATTGGTTATTATTATTAAATTGGTATAAGAGTGGTTAGAGCATGCACAGCGGATAACCATTATGCATGGTTATTAAGAGAGAGAAAGTAGGAAAATAATTAAAAATTGAGGAGAGAGAAAATTTTGGAGCAAAATTCTTGTAATCGGGTTATTGTTGTAACCGGTTATGAAGGGTGATTATTGAATTAAAAAACACCACTTTTTGAGTTTAAGTTTTGTCCTTGGTGATGTGGCACAAGGAGATTGAGACATCCATTTATTTGATGAACAATTGAGATTCACTCTGAATTTATAACTGTTGTAATTTTTGTAACGACCATAATTTTTAAAATACAATTCTAAAAATAAAATTAAAATACTATCGGCTCTATTTTATTCTCCTCTATAAAATGAGGTCAATATTGAAAGGGAATAATACTCTTTTGTTAATCAAAGTGAATTTTTATGAGTCATTTTATCTAATTAATGTATGTTAATAAATAAATATTAGTGTTGATTGAATATTACCAAGTGCATTAGTTATGATAGAATTTAAGATATAGATTGTGTAGTGGGGTTGGGTAAAAGTAAGAGAGAGAAAATGTATAACCAAAAAGTTGTTGTTAACTATTGGAATACATTGGTTATTAAATAGGTATAAGAGTGGTTATGGATGAGATGGAAGATAGAGAAATTAATAAAATAATCTATAACCACAATGGTTGTGGGCAACCATTGTGTTTACTCTTATAGGTGAGGTGGAAGATGGAGAAATTGTTAAAATAAGTAATAACCACAATGGTTGCCCACAACCATTGTGTTTGCTCTAATAGAGATAAATATATAGGGTATTTTGACTTTTTATTTATGAATAAATAGGGATAATTTGGATTTTTCCACATTTTGTTATAATATTAAGGCATGTTCTCATACGTTTATTTTCAGTTCAGTTCAGTTCAGCTCCTAATTTCCTTATCTTATAAAATATTCATTTCAATTCAGTTTAGTTTAGTTCAGTTCAGTCTATGAGAACAGACCCTTAGTCACTTTCTTTCCCTCTCCTGGAGCTACGTACTTCACCACCACTTTTAAGATTTCCAGCCAGAATCGTTGTGGCGATTTGTAAAAGCCTTTCCTTAAGAGGTTAGTTTGGTCCCAGTTTATATGTTTTGCTACTATGATGTCTTTTGTTCGACTGGCCGATAGATTACGGAGGGATTCGTCATGGTCATAGGAGGGGAGGGAATTTAGAGAGAAGAAAATATTAACTACTTCCTCGGTCTCTAAAAGAATGATCCAATTGAGCAATTTTTACGGATATTAATAAATTTAGGGCGTATTCTCTTCCGCTAAATTTTAGTTTTGTTCAGTTCAATTCCTAATTTCCTTCTCTTATAAACAATTTATTTGAGCTCTATTCGGTTCAATTCAGTCCCAATCAGTTTTGTTGAGTTCACTTGTTTTCAGTAAATCGAAAGAGGTCCTAACATTACCGTTTAAAGAAAGTTATATATTAATCAGACACTCTGTACTACAAAAGATTATTAAATGCATAAATCCATAATTTTGTCACTCTAAAATGACAAACAAGTACCTTAAAAGAGATGAGTCAATTGTTTTTTGAAATATGGATAACGAACATCTTCTCCCACCCAGTCAAATTAGGCCTTTGTGTTTAATACAGTACTTAAAAAAAATCCTCAAAAGATGTGCTATTAGTCCCTATTATTGAGTAATATTTTATCATTTATTTGCACAAAACAAGCTAACATAAATCCACAACAAAATCAAGTCAAATAAAACATCCCTACTTATAATAATATAACCTGAAGAAATCCTCACTTAATTAATGTTACTCGGTATCACATACTTAATTGCATGAGTAAATCAGTACTCCGTTATATCCTTATAAATTACAGAATAATGCGTAATAAAGTACTCGTATAATAATTAAATCTCATTTACATTATTAGTGGTATTTTATAATTGGATAATCTCTCAAACAATTATCAATAACATATAATACAAATGATTTGCTAATGGACGCCCACATTTAAAATATTGCCTAAAATGAAATATTAATTTGAAAAAGTATGACAAAAACACGCATCAATCGGTATAATTAATGTTCATTTAATTTAATTTTTATACTTTTAGCTCGCTTATTAAACGCATTCAGACCGTTTATTAGCTTTTGCTAAATACAAAATATGGAGTAAAATAATTAAATTTTATCTACATCACCGTACTCCGTAGTGATTAGTCATTCGATTACGGAGCACGAAAATGAACCATTAGTCATCCTCTAACATTCAAATAAACAAACTTTCATCACCCATTCTCATTTCGCCCCATTTCTTTCTCTCTTTTCATTTTCTCTCTCCTATTTTGTTCTGTCTTTTATCACACCACCTCCCTCCATACCCTTTCCCTCTCTCCCCCTGTTTCCCGCAGTTTTTCTCCATTTCCTGCTACTCCCATCATCAAATCCCTAAATCAATCAAAACAAAAAAAACCCTTTTCAAATTCATCAATATATTGTTTCAATTGATTCATTTGAACTCCTGCAACAAACACAGCAGAAGGATCAATTTTTTTTGATAATCAGTAATTTCTCCAGATCTTAAAATTCTGTTTTCTGGGTATTTCTGGGTTTATTTCAATCAATTTTCTAACAATTTTTCTATTTTTTTTTGCTGTTGCAGGTAAATTTCAGCTTCTGGGTTTTAAAATTTCAAAAAACAAAAACCAGATAAAAATGCAGGAAGAAAACCCCAGTTCAAATCCAGTCATATTATCTTCAGATGATGAAGAAGAACCCATTAAAAACGACTATCAAATAGTCTTATATGATCCAACAAAGGCAAATGCAAACAACAACCTAGCCATGGCCGTAGCCGAACCCGAACCCGATCCGATACATTGGAAACCGCCATTGATGCAAAATTCAGGAGGAGGGGGAGGAGGAGCTCAAAGAGTGTTACCAGCAGTTGGTTCATTTACAGTTCAATGTGCTATGTGCTTCAAATGGAGGCTTATACCAACAAAGGAGAAATATGAGGAGATTAGAGAACATATTTTACAGCAACCATTTACATGTGATTTAGCTAAGGAATGGAGGGGTGATATTTGTTGTGATACTCCTACTGATATTGAGCAGGATAATAGTAGATTGTGGGCTATTGATAAACCTAATATTTCTCAGCCTCCTCCTGGTTGGGAAAGGGAGCTTAGGATTCGCGGTGAAGGCTGCTCTAAATTTGCTGATGTGTATGTTTTTTCTCTCTTATTTTACTTTATTTTTTAAATTTTTTGTTTTAATTTTTTTTGGGTGTTCTTATTTGATTTGTATTTTGTTATGAAATTGGTTGAAATGTGATTACTGGGGATTTTGAACTTGTTTTTGTTTTGGGGGGTTTGTGATGGAATATGTATGTTATTTGATTCATTAGTGTTAGTAAGGGGCAGTGATGTAGACGGGATTTTCGTAATTGGGTACGACTTTTTGAGACTTTACTACTAAGCTAGTTGTATCCATAATGAATATGCTGTTTGATTAAGGGTTTTGGCCTTTTGGGTATTGTTCAGTATTTTGAATTTTTAGGATAGTGATGTAGACAGAATTTGGTTTCAGACTTAGACACTACCTTTGGAGATTTTGATAACTAAGCTAGTTTATTATTTCTTTGTGTTTGGTTTGGTGTGAATTTGGTGTGCACATTTCAACTTTGTAGTAGTTAGTTGTTGCTAAATGATCAATTTCTCATGTTCATTTGTTGTTTTTTACTTCTACTTTTCTATGATCTGATTGCATGTGAGTTGTGTTTATGGTGGACCTTTTGGCTATACTGGTGGCTGGTTACCAAATCTCTAAGGAATCTTTGGCTGGTTGCTTTCATGTGTTGTTAGACGTTGCTTGTACTTGTGCTTTGATCATTCTCTTGGTTGTTGGTGGTCTGTTTATTCATCTACAAGATTATTTTATTCTATGCTTTTTATCTGGATTTGCCGTCATGGGTAGAGGATGCACTTTGTAGCCGTCATCTGTAATAAATATCTGGAGTATCCGAGTGTAGATTTTGGAATATCTCACTGATCATGATCTTGAATGCAAGTTGGAAAGTAAATCTAGGTGTCTCGTGCCTTAGAGCAATGACTTCTATACTCAAATCTATCTAGCATGCTTCATTTACCGATAATTGATCATGTAGAAGTGTTGGGCTGCTATCAAATGTTATTATTTGCCTTTGGTATGTCATGGGGATCACATTAAGCACCAAGGACCACTGAGGCACTGAATAGCAAGTTGGTATCTTCTTGTGAAGTAAGTCATATTCTAGTTGCTGAGAGCTGCATGCTTGCTTATTGCAACCTTATCAAGTGGGTGACTCAGAAGGGAATCATAATGACCGTAATCCTCCCATAAGATATCTTGGTGTTCCTTCTATATACACCAGATTCTTTAGGAGCACTTAATGATAATTATCATGTCATACACCAGATTCCCATAAGGTAACTTGGATTTCTACATGAAACTCGAGCCCTTGTCAATTAACAATTTAAAACATCAATATTAAGAGACCAAAATAGATGACCAGTGGGAATGGTTTTGGGAAGAGAGTTTCTGTTTGATCTGCGGGGTAGAGGTTAGGAAAAGTGAAGTTATATTCTGCTTGGTACTGGCATGTAAAAAGGTTACTTTCCTTGCCCTGTTTATGTCTGATTGATTATTATCTTTCTCTTTTCCTCAGCTTGCTCGTCTATAAAAGGTGGGTTTAGCTTGGCCATCTTCCCTAAACTTGATACCGCTTAGCATTTTTCATGTTGAATTAGAATTTGTATGTGTATGGCCGTTTGGGCCTGACCTGCACAATTCTTCCCATATTAGATTAGGTTAGCCTATCTAGATTCTATCACAGTTCATATATACATTATACATATGCTGATAAGGTAATTCAAGTCAGGATTATTATTGAAAGGGGAGGCTGATTTATACGGATGTGAATGTTGTATATGCTACACCATACGATGGCATTTTTTCATATCATTGACTAGCTTATGCTGTAACTTCTTGTTGCCTTATCTGCTTGAGGCCAATCGAGTTATGTTGTTTTAATCGACTTTATTTATTTATTAATTTGTTTTTTTTTTAATTTTTTAAATTTTTTAATTTTTATTATCATGGCTAATAAATCTGAATAACAATTTCAGGTACTATATCGCACCAACTGGTAAGAGACTTCGGTCAATGGTTGAGGTTCAGAGGTATGTTTCTGGCTTTCTGCTATCCTCTTCATTTTTGAGATTATCTTCTTTACTAGGTATTTATAAATTTATTTGTAGTGTCTGTCCTGTACTTATTACTTGTGTGCAAATGTTCGTTCTAAAGCTATATCCTTAACTCCTATGTTTTAATTTTGTGCAGATACTTGTTGGAGCATCCAGAATACATTATGCAAGGAGTGACACTATCCCAGTTTTCATTTCAAATTCCTAAGCCTCTGCAAGAGAATTATGTCAGAAAGCGCGCTGCTCGTTCACCTATGCCTGATGGCTCCAATTTTGGGATGGCAAGACCTCTCCAGACCATTGCAGGTATACACGGTTTGATAATTTTGGGTGTTAATAGCAAGTTAATGACAATTTACAGTTTCATCAGAGTATTGTTTCTTCTAATCGAATGTACCAAGTATTTGTTCTATGTTTTGAAAGGAAAATTAAGAAAAAGCAAACGATACATAAGGGAAACTAATCTGACAGCGAATAGTGATGACTGATGCCTGTAACATTCCTAAAAACACTCACTATATACTTATTTTTTTCATTGATTATATTTATCTGAATATCAAATTGAATATGGTGTTTCCATAGTAAATGTCTATCTATGACCGTCAAAGATAATGTCAGTATGCTAGGGAAATGTGAATAAGATAACATCATACTCTATATATGGTGTCTGTGATGATACATGCTATAGATTCATTACTATCTATGGCCATTAAAGGTAATTTCGGTATGCTAGGGAAATACAAATAAGATTACGTTCTCTAAATGATAGGAATGGGGGCAGGCTGGAATATATTACTTTTTATGTACCCTGCTGTATTAATTACTGATCTGCACTGTAAACTGGAAGCTGTAATCTTTCTTTGTCCCTTTTTATATATGACTGTAAGTCATAACTAATAGTCAAGGAATTAGCAGTGTCACAGCTGTGTAACGGGCTAACAGCTTTATGCGCTGCATGATCTGAGTCTATGCAAAACTAAGAAAGTAGTATTCTAGCTGAAGACAAATAGTTAGGTGGTGAAAGGTGGCATAACTATAACCTCACATTGAAGCATGGATGCATGTATATTGTCTTCCTTAAAAATTTGACTGTTTACTTATGAGCTCTCTTTGTTTGTTTGGTGAGGTCTAATTTCTTGCGTTGCTACCTGTTGAATTATATTTGTGGTGGGGGGAGGGGGGGGGGGGTGGTGGTGGTGTTTTAACAGTGCAGTAGATAAATATAATCCTGAATTTATCTGCCAGTTGATGGCAGGATATCCATGTTCTAACTGGCTTTAGTTTGTGGAGGCTTGATTTTTTGTTTGTCTTAATTGCTTCATGGATGCCTTCGAGAGCTTTGTTGGAAAGCTTTGATGATTAGTAACAAGCAAATTAGCGAACACTAGGTTTGATGAAACTATCCCTATCTGATACAAACATGAAAAGCTATTGTGTCTGCCTGTTGATATTGTTGCATTTCTAGTTGACTATGTTTAAAATACTTCCTTGTAAATAAGGTACAGTGTTTCGATAAACAACCTTGTATTTTCTGCCTTTGTGTACTTTGGAATACTAAATGAGCAATTTGCAATGTTGAATAGCTATTTAATGGAAGAACTCAACATTAGGATCATGTTAGCTTGCTCTTAATGGGTTGAAAAGGCTAAATTGAAAAGGAAGCCTAGTATGTCTTGTGGATACTAAAAAAAAAAAAAAAAAAGGAAGATATAGGCCCTGTTTGGTAGTTAGCTTATTGGGGGTATATTAGCTTATTTGATTAATTTTAACTGATTGACTAGTCAAACAAGCTAATACAAGTGTTTGGTACTAAGCTTATTGAAAGAGCTTATTCCACTAAATAAGCTCTTTTTGAAAAAGCTCATTTTAGGAGCTTTTTCAATTAGCTTATTCATTAATTATTGTGAAATTACACTTATAACCTCATTTAATTTAAAATCCTATCTAAACTACCTACCCCACAATTAGCTTATTGGTCATTTCACATACTCAATCACCTTTAAGCTATCAGCTATTTACCAAACACTTTTATATAATCAGTTAATACAATAAGTTAGTCAAATCAGTTAATAAAATCAGCTAGTCAAAATCAGCTAACTCAATCAGCTTCAGCTTTCAGCTTTCAGCTTTTTCCCAAACAGGGCCATAATCTAGTTGCATGATATTTACACTCTTCTTTAGTTTGCCTTTGACATCCTATCCATAGTTGGATATGATCTGCAAAATCTGCCATTCCAACTTATTAGCTGAACTTGAAGTATCCACGGCCACAATTCAAACAACTCAGACAAGCTGAGTCCATATAACTTGAAATGCGAGTGATCTTGAATTGTGATTGGAGGGCGCAATAAGGCGTACTTACTGACAAGGAGAGAACTCAAAGAATGGCGCACTATAGTGTCTGCAACAGTCTGTTCAGCTGTGGGAGGATGTGATACTATGGTATTTTTGATTTATTGCTTGCTGCAGATGGGTCTGGGTCTATTAAGGGCATGCACACAAGGGTTTATTCTACTAGATGTGCTTATTTCTCTTGTTCCGGTATTGTTTGCTGCAGATATGGGTCTGGACAGGGTAATTTAAACTAAAATGATGAAAAGTACTCCTTGGTACCTTTCTAAAGGAATAGTAAAATCATAAGGTGGCTTTCGCTCATTAAGTCACCGTTGAATATGAAATTCTTGTGCTAGGTTCTTAATTATCCTTCATTCACAAAATCACAATCATATTTTGTTGTAAATAGTGTCGTAGTCAAACTGATTTTGGTAGGTTTTGCGTACTTTTGTTGCTTGAATTAATCTCTTTTAAATTATAACAAAATCTATTAGTATTGCTGAATGGCTATGTTTATATACTGTTTTGGTCTTGCATAGTTTGGCGTTCCCTGTGTTTCATGATTTGCTTGATATGGTTATAATCGGCATTATGAGCTGCTCTAGTGTATTATTCTTGCTTTGTAAGCAACACTTATGACTTATCCCAATGTTCTGATTGTTTAATTGATCTGTCCTTTACCCCACACAAATAATGTATTCTGTGCTGTCTTTGCAGCGAGTCCTTTATCATGGGCTGCCCCAGATGATGCTTCAGCCTTACAGATTAGTCGACCTGGGCCATATGGCTTTTCGGCCAACACTGGTACTCCGCCAGCAAGAAAGAAGGCTCGGCCATCAGCAAATCACACACATAGCAGCATTCCATTGCAGCACAATCCACATAAATTCAAGATCAAAGGTCCCCGCCTACCTCCGAATGGTGTCTATGACCTGTGAGTTTTTAGGAGCTCCACATTTTGGGATACAATTAGTTTAGAAATGTGTTATATATAGCCTTTGCATATGGTATGTCCTACACAGTGTGGTTCAAGGAAGTGAAATATGATTTTTTTGTGAACTCATTAAAGATTTAGAAAGTTGATGAAAAAATGAGGATGGGGGGATTTGATGAGGGAGTGTTTCAAACTAGCCTTTTGGTGATTTCTTTTGCTCAAGCTGTAATACCCTATGGTTTCAAACAAAGAAATGAGGAAAGTATATCTAATGGAATAGCTTTCAAACTACATTTTCCATTGATTCCAAAATATGGTATATATAATTACAGAGATACTCCATCCGTTTTTAAATACTTATTCTAATTCTACTTTTTGCACCATTCATTTAACCTACTTTGACTAATGTTTGTGATTTATACATAATAAAATACGTAGTACATAGTTATGTAGGTACTTGTTGGAATCGTCTCAATGCATAGATGATTAATTTTCAATTGTTAAAATTTATACTTATTGATAATTAAAGATATTATTGATTAAATATTAGCATTGGTATACGTGTCCAGAAGAAACGAAGCATATACTTAAAAACGAAGGGAGTATTGAAATGAGGAGAGATGGTGGAGGCCCATGGTGGAGAGAATGAATAAGTGATGTTGGCAAAATGTGGGGTTGCTCTCTAATTCACTTTTACATTTCAAAGAAAACTTAGGCTTGTTCACACTTACTGAACTGATTGGAGTTGGATTGAAATAAAATGAGTTGAACTGATTGGAGCTGAACTGAACTTAGTTGAAATGAATATTTTATGAGAGAGGGAAATTAGAAGCTGAACTGAACTGAACTGATTGGAGCCGAACTGAATTGAATTGAACTGAAATTAAGTAAATGTAAATAGACCCTTATTCTAATCTGTTATACTAATAAAGATTATGGGATTAGAAAATGATTTTTAAATAAAACTTATCCTAGTCGGTTTCATCCATATATATAAATCAAACAAAGGAAAATGGGAGCAGAAATTGATTTTTCCTACAGATTATGTACTACCCTTTCGTCTCTAAATATTTTCCCCATGTACCAAAATTATGTATCCCTAAGAGATTGTCCCTTATGCTATACTAAGTATTTGATTATGGGGGTTACACTTGCTTGCGCTTATTACACTTATACTCTCTCCGTCTCATAATATAGTTCTTCTTTGTGTTTTTTCACGTTATTTAAGAAATAAGAGGAGAAAACCGACGAATTACATTAATAAAATTGAAAAGTAAAATCATAGACAAAAGTTAGAGAGAGAAAGTTGAAAAATATACAAGACATGTGCAAAATTCAAGGGTAAACTAGAAAGTACAATGAATAAAGTTAAAAAAGTGGAGATATAATGATCTTTACATACTATCCAAAAATAGAAACACGAACAATATTTTGAATATTAAAAATAGAAAAGCAGGAATTATATTATGGGACGGAGTGAATACAAGGTTTTTAATACTCTTGCCAGGTCAACTAACTTAGGCATTGAAGGAGTTTCCTCATAGCATGGGCATTGGTGAGTCACAAGCCTACTCACAACACTATCTCTCTTCTTCTGAGCTACCTTACCATTGCATACAGTGACTCGTTACATACTCACAAAGAGGGGAAGCAACGTCTGCTGATGCTCTGATGAGTAACTGACATATGCATGGGCTTTGCTGACTCTTTTATAAAGGAATTTCATATTTATTTGTTGGTCCAATTACCACATGACAACTCATCCAAATTGTTGAACATTTGCATGAGATGTTGTTTTAGTCCAACAGCTCTCCAACGGCTCTATTATTTGGAGCACTTTCGTGTTGATATTATTACTCTAACGGTAATTTTTCACTTCATTTAAACATATTTCCAAAAAATAATTTCACCAACGGTATAATTATAATTTTATCTATAAATAGAGCCTAATATTGATATAGTTTTTCACCCTTAAAATTTCACTCTTCTTTTTTTCATTATAAAAATATTTTGTGATTATGGATCTTAATAATCCTAATTACGGAAGTGGTTCCTCTCAAAATAATCCAAATAACCAATCTTCCAATTCTCCAAATTTTCAAAGTAATTTTCATTTTGATCCAAATAACCCTAATAATCCAAATGCTCAAAGGATGTTATTTTATAACATTCCTAACCAACCAACGCATCCAAACCAACAATTTGTACAACAATTCCCAAATCAATTTCCAAACCAAAATTACACCCAACAATTCTCAAACCAATTTTTAAACCAAAATTTGCAACAAATTCCCCAAAATTACTATGGATACTTGAGCGGCTCCTCCGTGAAAGTTATGCTCGTGGATTTCCTGGTATGATGGCAGCATTGATTGCATGCATTGGGAGTGGAAAAATTGTCCGCGTGCATGGAAAGGAATGTATCAAGGTAGAAGTAAAACAGCAACAGTGATCTTGGAGGCTGTTGCTTCGCAAGACTTGTGGATATGGCACGCTTTTTTTGGAACCCCGGGTTCTTGTAATGATATAAATGTCCTCCAACGGTCGCCGGTGTTCTCTAATATATGTGAGGGAAAAGCTCCAGAGGTTACCTTCAATGTCAACGGAAATACATACAATATGGGTTATTATCTTACAGACGGTATCTATCCGAAATGGGCAACATTTATCCCAGCAATCAAACATCCACAAACTGGTAAGCACAAATTATTTACCAAGAAGCAAGAGAGTTATCGAAAGGACGTTGAACGTGCCTTTGGAGTGTTACAAGCTCGATTTGCAATAATACGTCAACCAAGTCTAGCATGGTCGACCGAAATTTTATGGAAAATTGTAATGGCTTGTATTATCATGCATAATATGATTGTTGAAGATGAGCGAGATGGATATTTGCATTATGATGCAACTGAATTTATCAATGATCAGCCGCAAAATGTAGCTGAATCATCAACTAGTAACAACAACCAACCATTTACTGTGAGAAGTGGACAATTGGATAGGCTCAATCTAAATGGTTATATGGAAAATAGAAATAATGTTCGTGATAGGGAGACCCATAATGCACTAAAGAATGACTTGGTTGAACATATATGGGGACGTTTCGGCAACGAATGAAGAGATGACAAAAGTCGCTGTTAATGAATATTGTATTTTAAATTTTAATGGATGTCTTTGCTAAATAAACTATGTTATTAATATATTGTATTATTTTTGTACTTTTCATTTCAAATATTAGAAATTTTTATTTATTAATATTGTACTATTTATAATGCTCTAATTAAAAAGAAAAAAAAATTAAAAATGTCTAACTTTTTTTAATTAATTATGTAAGTTCAAAAATTACAAATAAATAATAGAGATTAATACATGTTTTAAAAAATATAAAATAAAACAAGAGTGAGAAAGAGAAAATGATGGGGTAGTTAGGAGAGAGAATGGTGAGTAACCTCACCATTGTAGATAAATAAATAAGGTGACTCACACTAGTAGTTTAAGATAGTGGAAGGTGAGGTGGAAGATGATTTGGAAAAAAGATAAATAAAAAAGATAGTTGAAAGTGAGATGGAGAATGGTGAGTAACCTCACCAATGCCCATGCTCTCAGACACCCCAAGTATATTCTGTGCAGGTTTTCTCGGCCCAACTTACTTGGACCAAGCTAGTCTTTAGCCTACACTACAAAAGCCATCACCCACGCTACAACCTACAAGAGTAGTCATTGTTATTAGTTAATTACGGGAGACAATTCTTATCACCTAAATTATTTTCCTAATATATTGCTTACAGTGAATATTTAAAGTGCTTGAGTTTTACTCATACTATCTAAAGGAGTAAAGGGTAAGAAAAAAAAAAAAAGGGGGTAAGAAAAAAAAAAAAAAAAAATTAGGATCCCCTCCTTGCAAGGGGTGAGGGACAGAGGAAGTATGTGTTGAAAGCTTGGAACAAATATGATATAATCAACCTTCAATCTACCTTTTAAGTTGCCATACCATATTTTTGCCTTTTTTCCACAATTAATCTTTTGCTCTATTGCAAAAAATATGGTTCAAACTTTAAAATCTTTAACCATAAAATACTTATAATCTCGAGAGTGAGAAATAGCTCAAGTGGTTAGAGTTTTCCTCCCGGTTCCAGGAGATCATGGGATCGATTCTCACCCTAGCCCTTGTGTCTCTCTAAACACCAAAAAAAAATACTTATAATCTATAGGAAATAATATAGTCAATTGATCTGGTTGGATTCGTCTTATTATATATTTTATTAATATTAATATCTAATTTTAAATAAATTTACACATAAAAATAGAGATAAAACTGTTTTAAGACGTGATCTTGAAAACCGCAAAAAAATCAAATGAAGCAAAATATTAGGGAAAGAGGGATTAACATGTAAAGAACTATATACTACGTATACTTTGTGAATTGGGTCGAATTTGAGTTCTATATGTCCCTACTTCCTAGCTACAGTTACGAGTACTCTCTAGCTAATTTAAATCTTTGCAGTTGCGAGACTCATATTTGTTCTTCAATACTTCAACATGAATATGGACAGTTAGGGTCTGAACTCAGCTAAACTGAACTGAATATTTTATAAGAGAAGAAAATTAGGAGCTGAACTGAACTGAAAATAAACGTATGAGAACAGACCCTTAATACTCCATAATGACTATAAAATTTGAAGAGTTTTCATTTTTAATTTTAGCCATAAATTTAAGGTTGCCAGTTGTGGTTGCTTATATACATACACACACGCTTAGGACATGTTCAGCTCACTTTATATTTACTTATTTCAGATCAAATTAGGAAAAATATGTGCGGTTTTGTTATTATAAATATCTTTAGTTTTGTAATGAAAAAATTTATGAAAATTACATATTAAAAAAAAAACATATATTATGAATCTAACAAAAATTCACTGGATATATTTTTTATTTACAGATGATTGTACAAATAAGGTCAAAGTTTAGTCAAATTAATTAAACAATCATATAAGATAAGATCATATTAGGTCAGTTCAGATCATATAAGCAAAAATAAGGTGAACTAAACAAACCTTTATACGTATGATAAGGGAAGGACCGAAGGAGAAGTTGTGAACAAAAGAGGAATTTATGTTATTACCTGTTTTTTTGATACATAACTTGCGATGAGTCAAAACTTTGACTATCAATATCTTCAAAGGAAGCGTGGCTACAACTTGGGGGAAAGGGGTGGCTGCAGCTGGGGAGGGGCGACAAGAGTGAAGGGGAAGGGTGGCTGGTGTGGCAAGTTGGGTTAGGGAAGAGATATCTTTCTTTTTTTATTTTTTTGACCAATCTCATTATAACACGCGTTTAATTTAGGGGTGAGCATGGGACGGGTACCCGTACTGTTACTAACGGTTCGGGTACCAGATACCAATATCACTAAAAGTGATATCCATAAACCGAACCGATAAGTTCGGGTACCCGGATTTTTCGGATCGGTTATCGGGTACCCAATAAGGTATCCAGTAGTGATAATTAAACTTAATAAATTAGTTATTATGATATTTTTTAGGAAAATTTGCAAATTGCAGCCATTTAAAGTTCGTATTTTGCAAATTGCAGCCATTTAAATTTTTTTTTGCAAATTGCAGCCCAAAAGTTCGTATAAATTGTAAATTGCAGCCCGATTCAATTTTTTCATCGGTTTACAAGTTGAAAAATCTTCGGTTAAGGTTTTAGGGGTCATTTTAGCCCTTAAGGCGAATTGAGCTCGGAATTATCAAAAAAATAACATAAGTATCTCGTTTTGCATAACAAAATTGTATCGATTTGTGGGAAACTGTAAATATGAGACACTTACGTTATTTTTTTGCTAATTCCGAGCTCAATTCGGGCTCCTAAGGGCTAAAATGACCCCTAAAACCTTAACCGAAGATTTTTCAACATGTAAACCGATGAAAAAATTGAATCGGGCTGCAATTTACAATTTATACGAACTTTTGGGCTGCAATTTGCAAAAAAAATTTTAAATGGCTGCAATTTGCAAAATAAGAACTTTAAATGGCTGTAATTTGCAAATTTTCCTATTTTTTAACACTAATTAACAACAATACCACATGATCTTGACCAAATTATTCATAATATTACTAATCGTTGATATTATATAGTGATGATGAAGTAAAGTAAGAGTTTAAATATTGGAATAATAGATTTAAGTAGGAAAAAAAACAAAAAATTGTTTATCGGATCGAAACGGGCAACCGTTAATTTTAAAATGATACCCAAAAACCATACCCAATAACAAATTATCGAAACAATTACCCGAATCGTTATAGTTATCGGATCCGGTACTCTAATTTTCGGAATGGTAACAGAACGGGTTTTCGGTTTTTCAGGTAGTTTTGCTCAGCCCTAATACAATTTACGTGCTACAATACGTTGATGACCAATTGAGATTGATAAAAGAAAATGCAAATAAAAGTTGAGATTTTTATTAACAACCAAAAAAAAAAAAAAATAAAAAAAAAAAAAAATCATATCAGCCAAATTTGAGTTTATTAAAACCAAATTTTTCCAAAAAAACAAAAAACAAATTTTTTTCTGAAAAGATAAAAATGGAAATAATAACAATTCAATATCCCTTTATTACAATATCTAACAAACAATAATAAAGACAATGATATTAAAAGACAATGGCCATGTTTGGTAATTGGCTTTTTGGTTAGTTTTTGGCTTTTTAGGTGGTCAAACAACCAAAAAATATGTTTGGTAATTGGCTTTTTAGTCAGCGAAAAAGCTGGCTTTTAAGCCAAAATGAAAAAGCTGTTTTGAGTAGCTTTTTTGTTGGCTTGTTGGCCCACAAATTATCTAATAAACAACCAACAACCAACAATTAATTTACCAAGCACTTGTATAAACAGCTAGCTTAAACAACCAATTTCAAAAGCCATTATAAACAGCCAAACATTCCAACTGGTCAAACAAGCCAAGTGAACCGGCCAACAACCAACCACCAACAGCCATTTGCCAAACAAGGCCAATGACAAAAATCCACTATAAAACATACTGACATACACATTAGATTTATTTTCAAGAATAGTCCAATCACCATAGATTCAACGTGCTTAAAAGGAGGCCCCATGAAAGTACCACCAGTGCCATGCATAGGAGGCCCCATGAAGTTTTCATTCTAAATTATTTCAGATCAGATTAAAAAAAAAAAAAATTCATATTAGATCAAATTAGAAAAAATATGTGCGGGTTTTTTGGTCGTAATTATCTTTAATTTCGTAATGAAAAAATTTATGAAACTTACATATTAATAATAATAAAAAAAAAATATTATTACGAATCTAACAAAGTTCTACTTAATCTAATTTTTATTTATAGATTATCATATACATAAGGTCAAAGTTTAGCCAAATTAGACATTCAGATCAGATCAGATCAGCAAAAATAAAGTGAAGTAACTAAACAACTCTGATTCAATATCCCTTTATTACAATATTCCTTTATTACAATATCTAACAAAGTTTGGTAGATCCTCATTCTATGTGTGATTTTTACTTTTTTTAGTTTCTTTGGGTTTTAGCATAATCAATTCTTGTGTTCTTATTTTCTTTATGCATCTTTACTTTTGTTAGATTTAATTTAGTTATTTTGCAACCTATTTTCCACGACCAATCCTACGTACAAAATTGATAGGCGTGTTGAGTACATAACAAAAATAAACCTTACTAGTCCACTAATGTGTAGATAGACATGTAAGGATCGAATCTCAAGAGATTATGGTTTGACTAATTAAACAGACTCAAATAAATACTAAGCAAGTTAACCAAAACAATAGTGAGAACTAATAACTAAAGGACTAATTAAAGCGATTAAATCTAAATAATATAATAAATCGAATGCTTATAAAAACATCAAAGATCAAGCATCACCACGAATATAATTAACGCAATAGTAATTCTACCCTTAACATATAATTCGATTGATTAATGAGGAAAAGTAATACCTAAATAGTACCAATGGTCTCTCCCGAGTTGTCAATGGCTTCCCTAATCACAATCAAATTAAACCTACTTCCGTGGAATCATGTAAATGAAAGACTTTGAGCGCATTACTCTAACTTCCTAATCATCTATTCAACT